GAGCACATGGGTGCAAGGATGGGATTTCTCTTCAAAATCCCTTGGTACTTGGACTATCCTGAGCTGTGGATGTTCTGACTTGGTAACTATGAATCATTAATGTTTAGTTAAGGCAAAGAGCCATAGGTTTTTCTTGTTTTCAGCAATCACTTATATCGTCTGTTTTGCTATGCTCTGTACTGAATAAAAATTATTCTTATTTCTAATGGGTCTCTGATGTTGTAACTTGCATTCCAAGCCTAAATCTTGTGGCCACTACAAATGGAAAAGGCTAATCTGATTCTTCGCTTCCAGGGCATTCCAGAGACTAAGGGAGAGAATCTGAAGGAAATGATGAGTGACATATTGGCCCCAGTGACAGATATGAAGAAGGAATTTTTGCTGAGTGATATGGATGTGACCTGTCCTGTCCCGGAGAACCCAGCGCCAACGGCGCAGCCGGGACCGGAGGCGATGGAACCGGCTGGCGCAGACAGCAGTGGAGAGGAGGGCGCTCAGGAGCGGCGACGGCCTGCCCACCCCGGCTATACGGCCTGCGGGCGACTGAGGCCGACGCCGACACACCACCCGGCTTCTGGGGAACGCCCAGTCGGCGTTTCCCCTTTTGAAGGAGGGAGGGGCCAGGATCGGGCGGGTGGAAGGGCGGTCCCAGGGACTGGGGACGGGAATAAAAGACAAGGAGTGACCGAGGACCGAGGAGGAAACGGCTTGCCTACGATATCGGAAGGTTAGAGTGAGAGAAAGTTCCACCGCAGCAAGCAGGTAGAGGGGCTTCAGGGGTGCCGTTAACCCCGCTCCCTACCAGACTGAGGTCCACCGTCCTCCCCCTTTTGAAGGCCAGGCCACTCGTCCCTGGAGCCGCCCGAGCTTCTGGGGACCTTGCTTCCCGCCGCACACGACGGCCACCGGGGGCGCTGACCCACGGCAGGAGCTCGGGCCCGACATGACCTATAGGTCATATTCCGGATATATAAAGAAAAATAATCTGCCTGGGGAAACAGTGATAAGACTCTCAAAGAGGCATGTGAGGGATGCAATCCTGAAAGCAGCATCTGGATCACCCTTGAAAGTTGGAGATAATACTATCAGGATTTTAAAAGACATTCCATTTGAAATAAGACAAAGGAGAAAGAAATACAAAGATTTAGTTCTTTTTCTCCAGACAAATGCAATTGGATACAGATGGCTAACTCCAGAAGGCGTAACCTTCAAAATTAAGGATAAAAAGGAGGATTGACTCTGTTCAGAAAGCACAGGAATTTTTGAGAATCCAGTTGGGAGAGCCAGGGGAGGAAGAAAAAGAAGGGATGGACAGTAAATCCAGTGGCGAGCTGGACTCAGGATCTTCCGGAGAGGACTTTCTATCAGAGAGAGGGGCAGCAGCCCCTAAAAGTCCTTATAAATTGTGGAAGAAACTGGGAAAGGGAAAATGAAGGCTGAAGGACTCTGAATTGTGCCTTTGAAAGTACTGAAACTAGATGCTGAGGGGTCTTACTTGTTAACAGTTAATTTTAAGATTTGAAAGAGATAATATTATATGTAACTCAATTCATAATGGGACTAGCGTGATTAAGAGATAACGTATATTTAAGCTAATTATCTCCTCTCTTGGGTTTTTAGTCAGTAGTGGGTATCTTTTCTTTATCCCTAAATGTAGTCCCCTCCCTTATTTCTGTTATAGTTTGTAGTCTTAATAAAAATGCAATAAAAAATCCCTTTCGGGGGGCAAAAAAGAAAAAAAGAAAAGAAAAGGTGACACAATATGAAACTGTCCCTATAAATTGTGGGAAGAGAGGAGGATTATAACAAAAAGAAGCAAAGACACAAATGGAAATTTGACTTTTGAAAAGAATATGAATTCTTGAAACTCTATGGAACTCCCCCCCCCCTTTTTGGTATTAAACACTCAGATTTAGATATGAAGGTAACAGGGCTCTTAATTTCTGCTACAGTATTATTCCTACTACTTACTTCAGTGCCAGAACTCAGCCATGGTTAAACTGAATGGACATTCCTTGTTAAAGGATGGTTTGCTAGCCAATATATAGCCTTTTTCCTAGTCATAGCTACAGTTATTTGATACAAGTACTTTGGAATCTCAGTCCTTAAACTTGGAAATATCAAGTTTCTTACAGCTAGACCAAATGCAGACATTTTCTCACTACTGGATAATCTACGGTAGCCTGTATGTATGTGACACTTACAGAAGAGAACTAGATCTGATAAGGTGGCTTTCACTAGGAATTCCAGTACCTTTCATTTTCCAACACTAACTATTACCTATTTTTGATCAGGGATAACAGAAGACAACTAGACCCAATAATGTGGCTTTCATTAGGAATTCCAGTACTTTTCACTCCCCAGCACTAACTGATATTACCTATTTTTGAACAGGGATTAAAGGCACTAACTATTACCTATTTTTGATCAGGGATTAAAGGATTGGACATGAAGAGGATTTTGATCCGAGAAATGCAGTCAAGTTACCCACATTTGGGGAGACTACAGGGATAAGAACACCAGAACTGCAATGACCAAGCTTCCCACTGATAGCCTTGGCTTGCTTATCATGAGAGAACTGACCTTTAGATTAGCCTCAGCTTTTGACCTAATGGAGAAGCTACTAGAAATACTCATCAACTTGACTTCTCATAAGTGGAATCTTAAAATCCAGTATAGTTCACCTGTGTTCAGCAACAACTGTCTCCAGGCACATCCCACATCATCAGTAAGGATAGAACCAGACACAATGAAGCTGCTATAAAGTTGAAGAAGTCAAACAGACTCAAAGAAGTATTTGAATTGAGTAAAGCATGAAACTCATAGGCCTGTGTTGCCCTACTACACATCTCAATAACAGATGCTTTCCTTACCATTTTTTTTTTAGCACCACAGTTTATACAGATAGTCAGCGAGGCTTCCTAAATGTTTCTTTTCCCAATCCTATCTTGTTAGGTATACTGTCATAAACAGGCCTTATACTGTTATATTGAGTAAAAATATATTTTAAGGCCATGAGGCAAAGTTACTGCCATTCAAATTACCTTAATATTCAAATTCAAAATGAAAATTACACGTAACTGTTTCTTCTAATTTAAACGGGGCAGAATCTCACAAATTAGTTATATAGTATTTGAAAATGAATACAAAGTGAAATAATGCTATCAAAGTTGGTAAAAAAAAAAGGAAGAGTAAGTTTTGCCTATGAACTAAATACCTGCAGTGGACAACAACAGGTTCTTCTCGGCCAGTTCTTTTCTTCCGAACACGACACACAAAATCCAAGAAATCACTGGAATCATCAGGAACCCCATGATCAGGCCATGCTATGTACTGGATCTGAGTGAGCTGACGGTGCTCATTATTCTAGGAAGAGAAAATGTACCCAAATGTAATCAAACGTATCTCATTGTTTTTCTATAATAATTTTCACTTTTAAAGACATTGTTTCATGTTTCACAACAGCTGATACCAGTTAAATGTAGTTATAATTAATCAAAGGGTAAAACAGAGATTGGGAGACTTGGATTAAGCATGCTATGGATTTATAAAATCAGCTCCATAGGTCTACATGCTGTGATGATCAGGGATAAATTTTAATTAAATTAGGCATATAAACTCCCTATTTAAGAGGTAAATTGAGAGGTAAATTGACATGTTTTATTAGACCACTGTAGGCTGAATTAAGAATATGCAAGTACATCAGGCAGATATCTATTAGGCTTACTACTTTATTTACTTGGTATTTTCTGTAGTCATGTTCATGCAAAAATGCTTCTGGAGGAACAATAGCTACAAAAGGCAGCATTCAAACCTCTATGAATAAAATATAATAGGTGCAAAGAAGAAATTATTTATTTGTTCTTCTTCATTCTTCACTGGGTTGGTTTTGCCTCCAGAACTGTAGGTAAGGCCGATCAAATCTGCCTGTGAGGTGGGACTTCCCCCAAGCATCAAGAAAAAACAAAACAAAACAGGAAAGCAACTTCTAAGATTTTTCTTCTTGCCTTATGAATGGGAATTCATTCTTCATTGGATGGGAAAATAATCCCCTTCCTACCCAAATCCCCTGGCACTAACAAAGTTCTTAAGGTTCTGAAGTATCTTATGACCAAAGCTAATGCAGCTGAACTATCATGCCAACTTTTTAACTGAAAGCATGGAAGTATGAACTGATCCCCACATTGCTGTCCTATAGATGTCTTCAAGGCCTTCTCCAGAAGTAGACACTCACTTTATTGGTTACAGAACCCCCGTGGAACAGTGGTGAGAATGAGTAAACAACAACCTGAAGGGGGTCACAGTGTTTGTTCTTGGGATCATAAATGGGTAGCTGTTGCTTAGGCGTGGCCGTTCGCCAACAACTGATGAGCTCATGTTGGAATCAAAGTGCTGGTTAAAGTACTTCAGATTTGAGATGATGTGGCTGATGGAGGTGAGGCTGTGGTGTGTGGGAGTGATGTAGGGCAAGCTGTCTGCCAAACAGGGTGTTGAGCAGAAGGGGCTTATAAGTTCCACAGTGGTGAAGAGGGCTTATGCTGTAAAGCAGCAACTTGATCCTGAGACAGATTGGTAGAGTGACCGGGAACCAAAAAATATGATGTGATGTGCTTCCTTTAACAGGTTTCCTAGTGCAGCAATTTCAGTGAGCTGGGAGGTGAAGAGTTAACTCTTTACTGGAATAGAGAGCTTGAGTAACTGGCTGCTCCCTTCCCCCCCCTCCATCTGATTGGCCAGAGCCAGCTGAGGAGAAGTATATGATTAGCTAAGTGCTGAAAGGATGGTCTTTTTAGAGTCATTCAGCCAGTTTGTCTTCGGAAAGTCAGACAGTCAGTGAGTTTGCTCCTGAAAGAGTCGGTGGGAGTCACTGAGTATGACAAAGTCAGCCAGACAGGTTCATCTTTGGAGTCAAGGGAAACAACTCCTTGCCTCAACTGTTTTCTGTCAATTCTGAGGAAGAATTCAGTACCAGAACTGAATGTCTAAGAGTCAGTCTAAACTGAAGTCCGTTTTACACAGACACCAGAACTGGGATTGAGATTTTGGCAAGGACAATTGGGTAGTATGCCGAAACTCCCATTCAGGCCAAAAGAAAAGGGTTATATCTTTTGAGGAGACAGAGAATAATTCCTGCCAAGTTACACAGGGAGGTTTGCTCTGAGGAGACCCCAAGTCTTTCATGAAAAGAATAAAATTTAGACACCTTGAGATAGTGAAATAAACTGTGGTGTCCAAAAGGGGGAGAGTTTAGGTACACAAATAAAGAGACTGTCTCCAGGAAACCCGAAGAGTCATAGGAAATTATATGAAGAAACATTGTAACTGTAACTAAAATACTTAGTCAAAAACCTCTCACTGTTCAGATCCAACAATATATGAAAATAAGCTTCAACAACACTATTTTGATTGTTAAAAGAAGTATAATCTGTATCAACAATTTTTACCTCAGCATTTCCAACCCCTGACTACACCTAATCAACCCGTGCCTATTAAATAAAATCGTTATTTCTGTTTGAATGTTATACCGTCTCAAGTGCCCTTTGAAAGGGAAAAACAAGAGGGCTCCTGCTTATCCCCATCACGTTCCTGGGCTGGGCTAAAAGACAAATTAGATCTTCATGATGGGGTGAGACAGACTTTTTAAACAATAACTATATCCATGCTACTTGGGACTGCTCAGTCACAGCTGGGAATAATTTTTTGGTGGGAAACCCTGCCTGATAGTGGGGAAGTGCCAGGCATCTCTCATAATTGGTGGCAGTGCCACAATTCAAAAAGACAACCCACAACTAGTAGGTCTCACCACAAAAATAAAATAGTATAATAAAAGCCTTTATTTGTGAGGAATTACAATAAAATTCCAGTCAGAAGTGACATCAAAAAGAAATACTAAAGAGGTTCAGGGGGATAGTCAGGCAGAAGAAGCAGTTGTTGAGGAGAATCCTTTTTATTTATAGTCAAACTACAGAAATATACAGAGTACATTTACATGTCTACTCATTATAATTTCTTTTTAATACCTTAAATATTACATATCACATTTAACTTTGGTTAACAGTTCTTTCTTGGGAGACCTCTCAAAAATGAAGTTATTAGAGAAGATGATTTTCCCCAAAAGTCTTTGCTTGAATGCATGTTTCTTTATTGGCCTCGTTCTCTTAGAGTTTTAAAACATTATATCCTTCCAATAGCCCATGAGCAACCTGCAGTTCTTCAACCCTTTTTCTTTTTAGCATAGTTGTAATACATAATGATGTCTGCCCAAGGAGTTTGTCAGCTGCACTCTTTTTCTGGACTTCTTTTCTTTCCATAAGCAAATTCTTCTTCATATCATCAAAAGCCTTCTTCTTTTCACTTTCTTTTCTTCTTCTTTTGCCCTTTCTCTTTCTCTCTCTTCATCTGTTTTTCTTCTTCTTCTTTTGCCCTTTCTCTCTCCTCATCTTCTTTAAGTCTCTTTTCTCTCAGCTTGGTTTCCTCAAGTACTACTTACTTATTGTATTTCTTTCATAGGGAATGAGGTCTTTTGTGATTCGAACACAAGCAGGTTTACTGCCATAAAACTTCAAGGCATCTATGACATTCAATCGTGCATTCAATGCCTCTTTCTTTCATAGCAGCTGTCTGCTCTGTAATCACATATCCAAATGTTGAAAAGCCTCTCTGAACATCTCCATTACCATGTGGCAAGAAAACCTTTGAATACTTTTGTTACTTTTGTATTTTGTGTCATCCATTACATTCTTCACTTCAAAAAATTCTTTCCAAAATGCTTTAAGGTCTCCGTTATTGATTCCTATGAGTGTTTCTGCTGTAATCATCGTCCACTCATCAATCACGCAGTCTGTACGGTATCGCCCTTGCCACTTTCAAAAGTTCACTGCTGGGTGCTTTGCAAGTTTTTGGATTTTAAAAAGAAACTCCCATTCAGGCCAAAAGAAAAGGGTTATATTCTTTTGAGGAGACAGAGAATAATTCCTGCCAAGTTACACAGGGAGGTTTGCTCTGAGGAGACCCCAAGTCTTTCATGAAAAGAATAAAATTTAGACACCTTGAGATAGTGAAATAAACTGTGGTGTCCAAAAGGGGGAGAGTTTAGGTACACAAATAAAGAGACTGTCTCCAGGAAACCCGAAGAGTCATAGGAAATTATATGAAGAAACATTGTAACTGTAACTAAAATACTTAGTCAAAAACCTCTCACTGTTCAGATCCAACAATATATGAAAATAAGCTTCAACAGCACTATTTTGATTGTTAAAAGAAGTATAATCTGTATCAACAATTTTTACCTTAGCATTTCCAACCCCTGACTACACCTAATCAACCCGTGCCTATTAAATAAAATCGTTATTTCTGTTTGAATGTTATACCGTCTGAAGTGCCCTTTGAAAGGGAAAAACAAGAGGGCTCCTGCTTATCCCCATCACGTTCCTGGGCTGGGCTAAAAGACAAATTAGATCTTCATGATGGGGTGAGACAGACTTTTTAAACAATAACTATATCCATGCTACTTGGGACTGCTCAGTCACAGCTGGGAATAATTTTTTGGTGGGAAACCCTGCCTGATAGTGGGGAAGTGCCAGGCATCTCTCATAATTGGTGGCAGTGCCACAATTCAAAAAGACAACCCACAACTAGTAGGTCTCACCACAAAAATAAAATAGTATAATAAAAGCCTTTATTTGTGAGGAATTACAATAAAATTCCAGTCAGAAGTGACATCAAAAAGAAATACTAAAGAGGTTCAGGGGGATAGTCAGGCAGAAGAAGCAGTTGTTGAGGAGAATCCTTTTTATTTATAGTCAAACTACAGAAATATACAGAGTACATTTACATGTCTACTCATTATAATTTCTTTTTAATACCTTAAATATTACATATCACATTTAACTTTGGTTAACAGTTCTTTCTTGGGAGACCTCTCAAAAATGAAGTTATTAGAGAAGATGATTTTCCCCAAAAGTCTTTGCTTGAATGCATGTTTCTTTATTGGCCTCGTTCTCTTAGAGTTTTAAAACATTATATCCTTCCAATAGCCCATGAGCAACCTGCAGTTCTTCAACCCTTTTTTTTAGCACAGTTGTAATACATAATGATGTCTGCCCAAGGAGTTTGTCAGCTGCACTCTTTTTCTGGACTTCTTTTCTTTCCATAAGCAAATTCTTCTTCATATCATCAAAAGCCTTCTTCTTTTCACTTTCTTTTCTTCTTCTTTTGCCCTTTCTCTTTCTCTCTCTTCATCTTCTTTTCTTCTTCTTCTTTTGCCCTTTCTCTCTCCTCATCTTCTTTAAGTCTCTTTTCTCTCAGCTTGGTTTCCTCAAGTACTACTTACTTATTGTATTTCTTTCATAGGGAATGAGGTCTTT